AGAAAGTTAAACAAAATCATACAACAGAAGTGAATTGTTAAACATATCGTTTATTTTAAGTACTTATAATTAGTGTATTATTAATTAGGTAATTAATATTTGGCTGGGCAGAGCTACATTAAATGCTCATTTTGGTTTCAACAATTTGTTTTGCGGTAGTCTAGTGTCGATATTGTTTCTTAACAGATTTATTAGAATTACGTTCTCAAAACGAAATAGTCATATTGAATTCTTCAAGTCGATTCTTTTATTTTTCCCAAAATAACTCCAGTTAAAACATCTGAGGTAACTAAAAGTCATGAGTTACTCGCGGTCGCAACGATGTCGTGCAGCCTACCGGCGAAGTCGCCGCGACCGCGTACCAATGCTCATGAGGAAGAGCCCACTGTGTCTGTGACTCGAATTTAGTAAAGCTCTTTAGTTCATTCAGTATGTCTCACGATAGTTATTATAAGAACACTGTTACAACGTCTGTCACCTGTTGAAACATAGATAAGCACTAAGGAATTAATTTTATCAGTACGATTAGCTATAACCCAACACATAACTGCATAAAATCATAGTATTGGTCAGGAGAAACAATAAAGTAATGAAACCTTATAGCGCTTATCGACATCAGAATTAAAACAATATCGACATTAGATTTAGAGCTTGCACAGACGAGGGATTTTTATCCGCTGAGAACAAAAATCAATTCCTGATTACTTATTTAAAAAAAAACACCGAATATGAACCTCTCATCTGCGCTGGCTCATCTTTAGATTTCCTTCGCTTAATTACAATTCATAAGCGTAGCAAAGTTTTAAATTCTATGGAGATAATATAGATAGGTAAGTACATTTTCTTAACATTACTTGCCACAGTTCAGAGATTCGATGAATAAGTAAATTAAATATTGTAAAACTGTACCTAATGATCTATTTCATAAAAGTGTTAATTCTCACTTCTCTGTTTGACAATCAAGGACGGTTATTCAGTATGTTTGTTTGTATTTTATTAATAATGTTTAAAATCATATGGATTACAGTCTATTCATATTTGGTACAAACATTGGTTGAGTACTTCTGGTTGAGTATATCATTGCAACTGATCCATGATTGGATCCAAAAACCAAACTCAGACGATATTTTAGGTTCCTACAATGTGTTAAAAAACCGAGTCGATCCATAAGGTAATGATAGAAGACAAACCATGTATTCTCCTTTATTTCTTCGGTTAAGGCTTTGACTGCCAATAAATAATCTGTTGAAGGCCAATCACGTCGGTCAGCGGTGACCGCCATTACTTTTAATGAGTTAAAAAGGCGTAAAACGCTTTTAAAAAGGGCCTAAGAATTTATTTTTGTGTCACATCAAACCTTTAAGAACCAGCCTGGGTTTTCCGATCACATCGCATGAATAGAAAATTAAATTCAACTGAATATTCTAAGCTGAATTTATTTGTTTAACATACAGAAGTGAGATTATATCTTAGCTTAGTATTCTAATTTCACAACACCTGTAATATGGATTACGAAAATATTAAGTACCTTTTCTGTATAAAATGATTCCGTTTTATTCATTGTACAAGAAAATAAGGCGTTTGTTTGTTTAATACATGTTCAAACAATAATATTAATGGATTATTAGAGAAAATCTCGACAAGTTTCAAGTCAAACTGGGACTCATACAAGTAAAATTTATCTCGAATAATTTTCGTGAATAAGCCACGATGCAAGAAACAGGAACAGTAAAATACTCACTAGTCATAAATAAAAAATTGGACTGAAATAGAATTATCTATCTTGCTAACTCAATAAAAATTGAAATGGGACATTAACACACACACACAGGTACAACACTAATAAATAAAATGCTATTCTAGAGATCAATTATTTTAACTATGTATGAGTAAAAGGTACAATGCATTACAATAAGATAATAAATATATTATTAATTAATTAATTAGTTTTACAGTTACACACAGCCACGACAACCATTTAATTCTACCAAGTAGGTTAGGTACTAATAAAGGTCTAGGAGGGCTATCTTTTTGCGCTTACTAGGTGGCGCTAGCGAAGATTTAGTCTTATGTGAGTTAATTAAATGCTGCCAAAACTGCTGAACAAGTTTATTTTATCTCTATAGATCAAATAACATATGCATTTCTAAAAACTTATGTTGAATTCGATAAATAATCAAATTGGTACAAATTTATCATCTCTGTTGGATCAGAAATCTGTGTTCACTAGCGCCTCCAGCGGCAAATTCAAGTACGATAGTCCACATCTAGATTTCATGGTTCTATTTCTTTGGTTCATAGTTCATACAATAAGGTATGTATTATTTATTAGTCTTTAAAATGATGCAGTCAGAATAATAATATTAATCACTAAAGTGAAAACACAGCCATTTAAATCCAAAACGTATTTGGAAACTTTAACAAACTGAAGTCAATAATAGAAGTCGTAACATTAATGACAAACAACTTTTACCTAAAATTAAGTAATAACAAAGGTGGCAACATTCATTTTAAAACGTCAAAAATAAATAAACGTAATATTGCAAGCTAAGCAAAAATGAGGCTGGCATAAAACAAATAAAAAGCCATCACTTAATAATTAAAAATATTGCAATGATAAAGCACACATTAACTAAATATTATACAATAAATAATTATTAGCATTGCACAAAAGCGTTTAATGTAGAATAATATTGCAACAAGCAAATAATAAAATTCAAGCCTAGTTTTTAATTGCCTAAAAAACACTATACCATAATTCTCTAAAAAGCCTAATAAATAAATATAAACGGGCTAGCTAAATAAACAAGTGGTTAAAGGCTAAGCTAAAGCATTATTGCAACTAAATAATTACTCTTGCAACTCATCTTTTTTTTATTATGTTGTTTCGCTACCGTCTTTTCCTAATCTGTTTTCCTGAGAACACCGTTTAAGGAAATGGTTAAACCAAAGATTAGTTATTTTTATAATTATCAAGAGTTTCAATTTCTGGATTGATAACTACGACTGTATTGTATTGTATATTGCACTAATTTACCAATCTACTAAGAATCGCTATAAATATCAAATTAATTCTAAACATCGAGAAATACTAAAGTATTTAATATGGAACTATTTACTTAGTTTTAAACTATTAAATATATTATTATCTAATCGAATTACAACTTTTTTAATGGTTTATCGACTATTAGGCAGTATATTTGCGTTTTAAAGCTAAAGCATAAATAATTTTTAAAAGCATATACTTAAACTTCATAAGAACACTATTCAGAGGTATATTCGTATATTTTTGGCACATATTTAGTAAAATATTGAAACTTACGATTAAAAAACAACACCGAATATTTTGACGAACTAACATCATTAGCCTATAATGAACAACTTTTTCTACCAATTAACTTACATTCGTACCTAGACCACTCTATGAGATTCTAATAACTATGAATACAGTCAGCCAAACAGTACAGAAGTGGCATCGTTATAGTTTATAGTAAGTATACCTTTTAAAGAGAAGTAAGTTGTTACCATTGGTTGTCTCACACAGACTGACAATCCCTGTCTTGATCCAATGTATATTTTGTAATCTGTATTCCAAATATTTTGGCTGACCGTACATTTATATTCGTACTACAGTATCTCAACTGAATCACCTAAGACCCTCAACTTTATGAGATAATAAAATGACCTAAACAATATAAAGTAAGATTCCGAAATCCCATCAAAAATAGTATCGCTTGTTATTTGAAAATATTGTAGTAAAAATATTTATTTAACAGTCACAACTCGTGTAAAGGAATCACGAAGATAATCTTACCATACTAAGCGTAATATTATGTTTTAAAAAGAAAATAAACCACCATACAGTATAATAAAAACAATAAATAAATATTAATGCAAAATGATACAAAAAAAATGTATTAACAATACGAAAAAAGACTAAATTGAGTCTTAAAACCCACTATTCGTTTTAATAACATGAACAATCTTTTATATTAAGTATCTGGTATACAATATACAACCTCTTTACTGTACCCTGATAAAGTAAATTGAGAGTTCTAGAATATTCAATTCCCGTGAAACATTCATTTTATTATTTCATATATTATTAAAATAGTGAAAAGCACACATCAGGAAGTAATAATGGGAACATCGCTTGAACGAAAGAAGGTAGTATGATATATTACCGAGAAAGGAGATCGGACATTTTAATATGAACATTTCCTTTACTATTAATTAACAATAATGTTAATTTGACAAGAAATGTGGTTTTCATTCTTAATTTTATTAAAGTGCTAACGAATTTTTGGGAATCAGATATACCTTCACATCGAATACGGATCTAATCTACGAATCGAACACATAATATATGTAAGTGCATAGGCGAAAAAATTCTTGAACGGAATAAATACTAACCTACTTGTTACTTCAAATAATACTGTTACAACCATCTCGATTTGTACTGTCTGAGTGTATGTAACGCATATATGTACATACTAGAGCATAATAAATAATAAACTATCACAACACGTTAATAAGTTTCAGGTAACAAAGAGGTAGATTAAATTAATGTCGACTAAAATGCCTTTACCTAGCAAAATAATCAGCGAGTAGGTAATAGTTTTCTAATATATTCGTTGATATTTAGGAAAGGTTCTGCTAAGTTATACTTGTGCTTATATAAAGTTATGTAAGGGATTAGGAATATAGATTGCACTAGTGAAGCAACACAGATAAAACTTTTTACTAGTACATCCTTTTTCGATGGGAAAGCAAGAATGTAAAGTGACGATTTGGTTTAATAGTAATGTCCTGTCGAAACCTTGAAATATCGTAATTGGAACTGATAGAATTCTCCTTCATATTTCTACTACTAGTAGGTGCTTCATATTGATACTATTTTGAGTCATTGATTAGATTATTTGGAGAAATAGCAGGACATTTTCCGGAATTGTTATAAGCATGAGATCAGTTATGTTAATTCATTGGAGTAAAGTTGATATTTATTTCTTATTTTTAGGAGCATTTTCAGCGCTTGAGGCCAACAAAGCTGATAGAGTAGCATGCGTGGCACTTAACGTACCAGATGTTGGACTTACAATGTTGCTGGAGGAATGTCCTACTACATTATTATTGTTTAGCAGACCACCACTGGTGCCTGAACTGACGATCGTAACGTTTGGAGGTGGTGTAACACCGTTCGCGAACCCAGTGGACAATACCTTCTGCGTATTGTGCATCATAAAAGACTTGGCAGCGCCCGCACTGCCTAAAGTGAGTACTTTCTTCAACATTACAGATGAATTGCAGGCATTGTCGATCATATCTTTAGTAGTGGAAATACTATCGAAGTCACTGGAACTTGCTGTGACAACTGTACTTATCTTTGGCGTGGATGTGTGTAGGACTGGTCTCACCGCAGTCACATTGAAGGTCGCGCTTGAAGCTGGCGCAGACAGATTACTCCGATTGATTATGTTCCTTGACACAATCGCGTTGTGTAGTATGTTACCAGTTGGGAACGACTTCGAATTCACATTGACATACTGCGGAGTACCGATGATTGTGGCGTTGGAGGAACGAGTGCCAAAGCCAATGATTGTACTCGCTGTTCCTTGTGACATGACTGTGCTGAACGCTCCCGTTTTGGTGTTGATTGGTATACTGGGAAAGAAGAAATACAAAACATGAAACTTTTCGTCGTGTGTCGAGCAATGCTGCTCATGAATAACCCCAACCGTGGCTTATAATTAGTCGTATTACCTCGACAACGCGTGAGAATCCCGTTAAACTTAATTCATGTGATACAAATATCTCACTAAGTTTTGATGCAATAATAGAAACTATATTTATTCTTTTTAACTGTATTTATTCTTGGCGCCTAGTATAAATCTGCTACTACAAAACACTTACCCTCGAATAACTTGTGAATTAGTTCCAGGAATGTTCTGTATGGTAACTGTGGCTTGTGGTAGATGGTGGACGGTCCGTTGACCAGTGGGTGGGAGGTTGGAACTGGTGTAGTAGTGCACAGTGCTGCCGGTGATGCGCGGCGGCGCTGCCAAATGAGCTACTGGGACACTGTGCACCATGCCACTGGTAGTTGAGGCTACCGTGATGCACTTTGTCTGGTTCACGGAAAACTAGAAATAAACAATAATTATATTATTTACACACATCACATTAACAGCCCTCTACATTTGATATAAAAGATGAGAAAAAAATCGCAGTTTTTTACACTCATAGAATTAAATAAATTAGCAAGTAAAATCTAAGAACAAATGGTAATTGTAAAACAAAATGAAGTGGGTCTTCAAAATAAATCAACAAGATCATAACATAACATTACACCTTTTTATCCCTGAAGGGGTAGGCAGAAGTGCATGTTACAGCACTTATGCTACTGTACAATGTAACACCCACTTTTCACTATTTATGTTATTAGTCCCATGTCATAGGGGGTGAGCCTATTGCCATCAACAAGATTAAGGTGATTTTTTTACTATAAATGCATAATCAACTTACATTAGTATTCAAGGTAGTTCCCAAATCAAACTCGTCCCCAACCAACGTAATAGTATCAGGATTAGCGCCTGTCAACTTCTCTATAGTTTTCCTTGCATCAGCATCACTCTCAATATCTCCCAAGTTTCGGCTCAGGAACTCAATATCAGATTCCAACAATCCATCGACCAAATGATTCTGGGAATCCTCACCATCTTTACAGAGAGAGAAGGCATCATCATTCTCCAACTTTATGTCTTCGACTTTCATAGCATCCACGTCAAGATCATCCATGTTCTCAACTTTAATATTATTCAGATCAACTACATCCTCATCCTTCATTTCCTCCATTTTAATTTCGTCTAAATCTTCGACCTTTATCCCACCAACTTTCATGTCATCAATATCTTCAACTTTGATATCAGCGAAATCTGTATCTTCCTTCATCATAGGAACATCTGAGAAGTCCCTACTGTTTTCCCCATTGCCAATATACTGGCTCGCATCAAAACTATTGCTGTCGAAGTTATCATGATTAGGTTCAACTTTGATATCTTCTATTTTGTATTTATCTTCTTCTGGCATACTGCTTGAGCATGGTTGAGGGCTGTTGGCATTGCTGATGTCACCACTGAGGGCTCGTTTATGAACATAGGCCTTTATTTTCCTCAACATGAAGAGAGGTACTTTGAAGCCGGTCAGTTCTCCTAACATGGGTAGTGAGTTGTGTTTATAAGCATCACTGTTTGCAAGTTCTTCAATGTCTTCTAGGACCTGAAACATACAATAAATCAACGATAAATAAAAAAATATCATATTGATCATGTTTAAGACAGATTGATGAAGGACTTTTATGGACGCTCTTTGCACTAAATAAGGGACTTTTTTAATGGGACAAGCCCGCCACAACCTCCCAAAACTGCTGCAACTCCTGTAAGTCAGGGTCTAGAGTAGGTAACACGAAACCATTTCCAATAAATTAGCATCGTACTTAGGTAAATTCATATTGACCGTAGACTCATCATAACTTGACATGAAAACACCCGGACACTGAAGTCCAGAGCGTCCCAGGGACATGAATAACTGTCTTGGTTCCCGCAACAAAATAGATATTATAAAAAGCTTTTGTTTTGGCAGTTGTAGAGTCTCTTTTTGTGCCCTTAGGGTTAATTCATTCTGTCTCCTGCATTTATTCATCAAGGTAAGCGGAAACTATCGTGGTTCCTCTCCTCTTTCAATATCTTCTAAATAAGGGACCTAGGAAAAAGTCTTTAAATCATCAAAACAATGTTAAGCTTACCATAATATAGGTCTTCCCTCCCACAGCATTAACAAGGTTGTGACTAGCAATCCATTCCTTGTCTGACGAGTCAGCTGGATATCGGAGTAAACCAGCATGCCTGGTGTACAACCGACCACGAGAGTTACCAAGACCAAGCACCTGGAATAAATAAATGTTGTATTTATAGCATTGCTACTTACCGACTGATAAGTAGCATTTCAAGAAATAATCTTCATGTTCAGATTGGCAGCATCAGCTAGATTGGCCAAAGGTAAAAGGTAAGAGCTACTGTAATATTAAAATTTAGAAGAATTTCTTAAAAACAATTGAATTAAAATTATGTATTTCTTATCAATTGTTTACATGTATTTTATTATTGTTCATGAAGTCTTGGGATTTAGTACACGGTTCGGTAAATGCATACCTACATGAAGTTTAAATTTTTTAGGAGTTATTAGAGTTGTACTACTAAGTTATACTGCATGTTGTTTTATACTACTGTAAACATTTGTTCTCATGTTTTATAATTATAAAACATTAACATTAAAAAAATAATAATGTACTTACTTTGTGAGCATGGGATCCCATAATAAACAGAGTTTCTTGAGTCAATCTTGCAGGGTTCCACTTCTCAGGGTCCCTAATAGCAGGAGATGGCAATGGAGATGAAGATGCACTGTCTGTGGTGTCCTCCTGTTTTATCTTCTTCCTTTTAATTATGTCCATATCATTGTCTGACTCCTTTCGCTTTTGGCATGGACTCTGTAACTGTGGACATATATTTATTTGTCAGTATGAAGTTTTTTACATTTTGTGATTAAATTTACTCATGTATTGCATATTAATTATTTAATTTTATCATATAATGTGACAGGACCATTATTACACCATTACCAATAAAAGTACAACACTTTTTTATTTTTAAGTGTGGGAGAGTGATGGTTAGGCACAAATAAATAAACATAAAGTAATAAAATTAAAAAAAAAAATATTTACATCCTCTAAATATGCTTCTACTCTTCAGAGAATGACAGGCATCGTGTAGCAGTTGCATATAATATGCGAAATGCAAACTAAACATGATCACTATTTTAATGAAACAATTAATATTATTTTGAACTGACACTTACATTTTGCTTGACAAGTTTAGGATCAACACTATTACTAGATTCCGAATCACTGTTTTCATAAGGGGACTGAGCAGGCCTTGGCGGTGTTGTATACAGTAGTCTTGTAGCATCAAGCATTGCTCGGCAAACTGCTCTCACCTAGAAAAACAAGTTACCATTTGTTTACAATTACATCTCACAATGCATTGATAAGCCAAATCCGTATTACGCAAATTACTATCAACGAGCATTGACTTATTGTGACATATTGATAAAAGTAATTAATGTTTTCTTTTTATAATATAAATAGGTACCTGATCTTCACTAACGGACTCATCTCCCAAATTGAGTCTTATATTATTTACTGCCGGCACAAAGAATTTCTGGAAGAAATGGTATGTTATTTTATATGTATATGTGTATATGTAATATAGTTATTTTATTAAAAACTAGTAATCATCAAAATATTAAATAAATATTTTCTAATAAGCAACTGAACACTAAAATTGTTCCAATGTGATTCTAACTAGGAAAAAACTATTACATAAAAATTGGATCTCTTCTAAAACCCAAGTTGTATGAGAACTTCATGACTTTTAGAGAAAATAATAGCATTATATTGTTTTACATACCTCTAAATATTTCTTGATAACTTGGTCTATTTCCCTTGTGACTGCTGATTGTATAGTTTGCCTTAACATATCCAAAGACTTATTGGCGCTGGCCCTGAACTCAGCTATGGGTCTGGAGTGTGGCTGTACTGGTCCAGGCAGACTGAACCTTCTGTGCATAGCTGCCAGTGTGTTTATGGCAATCTGCCTTGTTACTGGCTGTTTCTGAAATTTATAAATGGAATAATTTAAAAAATAAAGTAAGGACTATGGGTATGGTGGTGGTGGGTTTTGATTACATTCATAACATATTTCCATTATTAGGTCATAGCTGTAACTATTAAAACTATTCATAATAGGTAGAAAAAGTGCCAATATAACATATATGCTGACATCTTATGATTTCCAATTAATATATTGTGCCTCTAACAAGAGATATTATGCATCAACAAAAAAATCACATCACAAATCAATACATATTTTGATGAAAAAGAAAGGTCAGTGAATATCCTCATAAATTAAATCATTTACAGAAACGAACTATATTAACGATTATAACGATAAAAACTAATATTTACTTTTTGTTTACAATTTACAGCATTTCTAAATTCATGGAATTAATTATTTACAACTGGCGTTTTCATAAATCAGTGATATAAATTCAACTTACCGCATGCATATTGTTAGGTGTATTAGAACGAGTATTCAATGTTTTAACTGGTGCCTGAAAGCTCCATGTACCATTAGAGTTTTCTGTAGCAGGATTCTGTTGCGATGTATCGACGTTATTCCAATTCTTTTGCACCACCATTTCGAATTCCTATCATACACTGTTTTGCCTGAGTATCATGTCCAAACGCGCAAAAGATCATTCACAAATCAATCACTTTATCACAATACTAAAACGCTATTTGGTAAGTTCTAAGAGATAATCTTGTTAGATTTTGTAGTACATAACACACGATCTTGCTTGCTTGCAAAGCAGTGCAAGGGGAGGAGGGGGCGGGGGAGGGGTGTACGGATGCTGTGTTAGGGTGCTGAGTACTCAGTGTTGCTGCGTTTAAAAAAACACCGGTTTTATGACGATAGTGAGAAAATAAAATCGTAATGAAGGAACCGAAAATAAAACAAACATTTCTCAGGAAGAAATCAAAATAATGGTAGAAATTATTTCTGTAAAACTTATTTAAGTACAGAATTAATGTCCTTGACTTAATAATCTTTATAATATTCTATGCATTATACTGGTAGTAGTATTTCTGTAAATAAGTTTTACGTTTGGTCAACAAAATAGCTACTGTTACTGTATTGCTCCCAGCTGTAACTGACTACCCACCCACCTGTTCGTTTTAATGATGCTGGATTTCTAATTAGATTATATTTCTTCTCTGGGTATTAAAAAACACTATTTTCATTTTTTTTATTACAAACTAACACAACCTTATACACGCCTATAAAAGCTCGTGTTTGTAAGCTTGAGGTGCGACCGCCGATAGAGGCACCGATTTCCAAATGTTTGCTTTGTCGCGGAGAACCTAACGGGTTACTGGGGCTCCGGCTCGAAGCGCAGGAGAAGGAACGAGGTGGATTTTAGTCAGTAAGACTCTGACACTCCCTATCGCCAAACCCAGGCGGAAGCAGACATTCGATAAAAAAAAGCGACCTTAGTATCCAGCGTCAACTATAGAAATTAATTACTTGTGTATGTTTGAACAAATGAGTCAATAACATTTGCATCTGAAATACTCTTTTGAAATACATAATTGACTTGAAACCATATCGTGCTTGAAACCATAATTTTACATTTAGGGCGTTTGGTATTTATTTTGTAATTTTGTACTAAAATAATAATAGATATAATTGTACACCGTACTGAACCCTAATAAAAGAATAAAGATCAACAAGGTCGAGACACATTTGACAGAGAATAAAATAAGGCCAAACATTTTTTTCAGCTGAGGTGGAGCCAGTGGAGCTCATTGCTTAGTTTTTATCTTATCTTTTTAATCTATTATTTTATCTCTTTTTTTTCGTCTGTTGTTCGTGTTGACGTGACGTCAGTGACGTGTGACGTAAACACGTCATCGAAAATTCGAAATCGAAGCTACATACACCCGGTGATTAAAATTTTGTAGCTTTGTAAAACAAATCAAAGGTAAGTAAATTAATTGAATAGGAAGATACTGATTATACTGAACCTTGTAAAATATACAACGAACATAATTCATTCCGTACATTGATGTAATTCACAAAATAAGTTGATAGTTACTGATATCAATCGGTCGATGGTCGGTCGGCTCACGTACGGCTCGGCTGTTGCTGGATTTACTTTTGCTTGCAGTCTGATTTGTGAAGTGGGCGGAGTACGACGTGATCAGTTATCAATACCGTTATCATTTACGAAAATTAATTGGTAAGATAGCGCTTTCAGTACTACCATTTCTTGTAAAAATCCTATTTATTTAGGTATTTTAGTAGCAATATTTTCTATTTAAAAACTGAGATATTTCGAAGCCTTCCATCTAAGCCTTATGGACTTTGTACTTCACTTTGCCACGAACTTGTTTTCGTCTTTAGAAATGGTCTTTTATAACTACATTCCTTCTTAATTTCCTATTAATATTCCATGTTTGCAGGTTAGGCAAGTGTATAGTATTTTTAGAACAAGAATAACTTACTTTTTCCCTGCATATTATTTATTAATTAACAGACACTTACATTACTTGTTAATACTATCTAATTTCCTGCCAGTATTGATTTAGTTTATAAATCATCTATTATTATTAACAATTTATCAACATCTCTATTTCAAAATTTCTCATGTTCATCATGATGAGAAATTGTCTTGTCCAAGTACCCAAGTACGTACTCAACATACTTAGATGACACTTTCACTTCTTCAGTCTTCATACAAAATTTCTTTTAGACAGTAATACCATGAGTTAACATTATAATACACCAAAACTACACACAATATTCAATTTAATATTTTATTGTGATAGATTTATCTAACTACAAAGTTGCAAGTCATAGCTTTATCATTTATCTATTTATCATTTTAAATGTATATTTAAAAAAATATATTCTTTAAAACTTAGAAAATTAATAGAAGTAGGCTTAATACAAATGAAGAAAAAATGGTAGTAAATGAGATCATTATCTTTAATAGTATTTAATTTATTTACTCTTTGATACATGTATGTTCTGCTATGTCATAATATGGTGTAATAAGATAGTGTCTCAAGGCCAATATTATAAAAAAAACATATATATAGGTATATATTTTATATTATCTTCTAACTGGAGAATCAATCTATTAAACTGTCAAACACCAAGCGGTCACCGGTGACCGCAACCTATTGTTCTTTAATTGTGTCTATAAATACGGTACTCGACGAGTTAAACCAATTTAATATACCTATAAAAGATACTTTATAGGTATATGTCACCTAACTGTAAAAAAATATTATAATCACTCACTATTTTTCTCACAGAAAATAACACCTGACCTGGAATGGAACTAACAATGGATAAAAAAGGCTGTTTAGAATCTATGAGTAGCCAAAAATATAAATTGGCTAATTTCCCAATACCAGTACTTTTTTGTTTTTATTTTTATTATTGTGGCCTCTGCCCTGTTGTTAGAAGTTAGTTTGTTGAACTTGAGATAAATCTTTGTTGTCATTTTTTATGTAATCTTAATTTACATTTAGGTACAATGTTATCAGTAGCGTGTACTGCTTGTTAGTGGCCTGTTATTAATAATAATTTATGATATAAACTGTAAGGGTATGAATGAATCCACAACTATCTAGACCAGTAAATCATTTAGGCGAGTTACTCATAGTAGTATTCGCACAATAGGATAGGCAATTGAGAGTATTTGTAAGCTTATTACATCATCCCGTAACATGTTATAAAATTGATATCACAATAGTGCAATTACTGTTTTACTGTAGGTACTTCATAAGATCCTATCAAAAACATGTTATTGTAGGTAAAGGTGTTGTTATCAATCAAACTTAGGCACAATAACCACATATTTTGGGTAACATTTTTATCAATTTAATACAAACCTATTATTTTTTATAGATAGTGACTATGGAAAATAGGAATTTTAATTGATCAATTAGTAAATGAGGGTATTACGAAGATTTTGTTGTCTATGTGTTTGAGTAGATAAACTAGACAACTTAATTTTAAAATGATTGACTCATTCCTTGAGTGAATGATGCAAATGCTTCAAGATATTTTCCTCAGAAGGATTATGGGGTATATCATTGTATTTATTCTCAGTAATAATACGCAAACAGGAAATATTGTTCTTTCGAATAGTCCCATGTCTATAACAAACTACCTACGTTTGTTGTGATTGATAAAAGGTTGTTTTTTAACATAATAGTAATATTAAATGTATTCATACAGGTGGTTAAGATGATAAGTATAATTTTATCCTGTGCCAGCCATAGTAACAGGCCAGTAACTAGCATTGGTCAATATCAAAATCGTATCTTGTTTATGTTAAAATAGAAAAGGTACTTTTAGTGTAGTATGTTGTGTAATATTCACCTATGTAATTAACACGTTGAACTTGAATTATAATGGGTACATAGTCTACGATTTTTGTTTATTTTAAAATGAATTGCGCTTACCAAGGCCGCTACACCGATTTGAGGAATGGAAATGTTTGCTTAATTTATTTCGATAAGTTAACGAACATTTACGTAGTAGTAGATAGAGTAGTTTTTAGTTAGGTACTCAATGGTTTAAATAAACATGTTTTCTCAAGTGCCGTTTTTTCTCGATTCCAGATATACAACATGTCGAAAATCAAGGCCGGACCCGTTGTTGATGTGCTCGGTGATGAGATGACCAGAATTATCTGGGATCTCATCAAGGAAAAACTAATCTTACCTTTCTTGGACATCGAACTGCATGTCTACGATCTTGGTATTGAAAACCGTGATAAGACTGATGATCAAGTTACCATTGATTGCGCTGAAGCCATCAAGAAATACAACGTTGGTATAAAATGCGCAACAATTACCCCCGATGAAAACAGAGTAGAGGAATTCAAGCTGAAAAAAATGTGGAAGAGTCCCAATGGAACAATCCGTAACATTCTCGGCGGCACAGTCTTCAGGGAAGCCATTATTTGCAAAAATATTCCTCGCCTCGTAACTGGCTGGGAGAAGCCCATCATTATCGGGCGTCACGCTCACGCTGATCAATACAAAGCAACCGACTTTGTTGTGCCTGGAGCTGGAACTCTTGAGCTTATCTGGACTCCTCCCAACGGTGAACCCATCAAACACGTTGTGAATGAGTTCAAGGGTGCTGGTGTGGCCCTTGGAATGTTCAACACTGATGCGTCGATCATCGACTTCGCCCACTCTTCGTTCAAATATGCCCTTGACAGGAAATACCCTCTTTACTTGAGCACAAAGAACACTATTCTTAAGAAATACGATGGTCGCTTCAAGGACATCTTCCAGGAAATTTACGAAAGGGAATACAAGTCCCAATTCGATGCAGCTGGTATTTGGTACGAGCACAGGTTGATCGATGATATGGTTGCTTACTCCATGAAGTCCGAGGGTGGATTTGTCTGGGCTTGCAAGAACTACGACGGAGACGTCCAATCAGATTCTGTAGCTCAAGGTTACGGTTCCTTGGGATTGATGACATCTGTGCTGATTTGCCCCGATGGAAAGACTGTTGAAGCGGAAGCCGCCCACGGCACAGTCACCAGACACTACCGGTTCTACCAACAAGGAAAGGAGACATCCACCAACCCAATTGCGTCAATCTTTGCGTGGACCAGGGGTCTTCTTCACCGCGCCAAGTTAGACGATAACGCTGAACTTAAGAACTTCGCCGAGACTCTAGAGAAGGTTTGCATTGACACAATCGAAGCTGGCATTATGACTAAGGATCTTGCTATTTGTATTAAGGGCATGAACAATGTCAAGCGATCAGATTACTGTGAAACTTTCGAGTTCATGGATAAACTCGCTGAAAACCTCAAGAAGAGTTTGGGAAAGTGACTACCCAAAGAGAAGAAATTATGTAACCTATGAACAATCTATACCAATCAATTTTTACGAATGAATTTTATACCATGTCACAAGGGAATAGGGATACTTTATTTAAACCTTATTTATAACATGTAATTGTAATTTATTATTGTAATAAATGCAATTTTAAAAGACTTACATTCAAATTATTTTGACTTTTCAATGGTAAGGGATGACCTGTCTCGACTAGTTTAAATTTAAATTTTTAATGAGATAACAATCTAATGGCATTACTATGCCTACCTACATTACTGTTTCGGTAATAATTTGGTATTCCTATAACTTATTTTACGATTAATGATAAACAGATACTAAGTTTGTACGCTGTACTGCAAAGAGTTAATACCCTTGCGATCTTTAATGGCCGAAAGCAAGGCTAAAAATGATCTTTCATTACTTCGTTTTTCCAACAACTATTTCTGCTAATGAAAATAGTTCTGTAATCGTTTGAAGTTTCTATAGTCACACTAGAGTCAAATCCTTAAAACAGTAACACGTAATATTATTAATCTTAAACCTTACAAAGCCTTTAAATATAATTATAAAACCATATCTATGTGGAAATTGTAAATCAGACTCGTTTATTTATTCATTATCTTTACTGAGATAGTCAACAAATGCAATGATTCAACACTATTCCAAGGACTTGCGACACTAGCGCCATGAATGAGAAACTAAAAACCAAGAAATGTTTTGAAATCAGACTCGCGTCTTAGTTCCGCAAAATAAACACAGATGGCATGTGATGTAGATATTACAAGATGCACCTACCTAACTTGAAAATTAATTCCAATGTAATTTATTATTCACATAAGTACAAGTTTGATCTTTTACATATTAAAACTGTAGTTAAACTAGAGTTATTATTAAACAGTGAATGTACATGATTATGCAATTTACTTATCGTTAACGTATGATATCAATAGGAATTTGATAACATATTATCCTACTTGCCTACCTAGGTTATTTTTTACATTATTTTTTTATCTGAAACTAAAAAATGTGTCAATTAATGTTTTCAAGTCAAAACTGCTGAATCAATTGTGATAAATAGATAATATTGATTCCGAAAAAGCAGTACATAAAAAATATCCATAATAGGCTTATCTTTGGCCAAAAATGGGTGCGCTTGAGACGTGTACTACCTACTAATTTAAAAAATTTACACATTTTTGTGGAGTTATTGTAAGCTCGAGTGCGACCACCGATCGAGGAATCGATTTCCAAATGATTCTTTTGATTTTTCTAAAAAATATATACATTTTGACACGGACGCTGATATTGTACCCAGTAGGTCCTTATTAAAGGAAATGTGATCCATTTATTTATTTTTTTGTGGGTGAATTAGGTGGTTACGTAACTTAAAAGCCATCAGGTAGGGTACACCCTACCTACATATAATTCGACACTCGTTTTCAAGATACAAGAATTAGAACTGTATCGTTGCGTTGGCCGAGTGGTCGCAAGTGCGACTACCAGGTTGGACCTAAGTAAAGTACCGCTGGATTTAAAAAAAAATATCTCAGCACCTAGTAGCATGGAGTCTGGAAGTGTGCCCGATATATGGCAATAGGCTCACCCCCTATTACATGGGACTTATAATGTAGGTGATATATTGTACAGTGACATTAAGTGCCGTAATATGCACCTGTGCCAACCCCTTCAGGGATAAAAGGTGTGATGATGAGAGAGAGATAAAGATATTTTAAGAACGGAAGTGGTGTGTGGTTTTACATAAAATAATTTGATAAATGCAAGTCGATAGGCACTTACCTATCATAACCAACCAAGAACGTAGATAATATTGATAAGTAATTAGGAACCTACCTACCTAGATATTTTGGTCCAGTCTTGTCAGCCACCACTGCCCACACTGGCATCAGTTTCAATTACCACCCCTATACTTATTATACTCTTTGACCTAAACTGAAATCAGTTTTTGTTATTTGCGGTTACCTACTTGGACGCAATAAACAACGGCACGTTATTTATTACTTCTCTGATTTTGGAAAGCTTATCAACGAAGGAGTAAAATATACTTTGTCCATTTTGGAATCAAAGGAATGAATTTAGATACCTGTTTGTTGTGTTTCCTTTTTAGATGATTTTCAACTTAACTAACTAATGACCTCTTAGTCCCTAAGCCCCCTTAGAATGTATATGGAATCTGTGCAATTTCTTTCTAACCATTACAAAATAGTGGCGAGATTGTGGTCAAACGTCGGCCCATCAAATAAAAAAAAATAAATAAACGCCATAAGTTTTATTTTTAAACTGCCTTCATATTTTTCTTTAAAACCTCATCCAACTTCTACAAGGTAGGGACCTACACTATTTCCAAAAAAAAATATTATTAACGATATATTCCCTGTCCACCGAAATCGTCTATTCACTTTACAAATCGTTTTCATTTTTCTATTACAACAGTGATCCCCTATGCGGCAAGTCGTCAAATAACTTTTCTTAGTGAATTACCGGAGGCGGTTGACGCGGTTTCCCCTACAAGATCGTCCCTCCCGCGACTCCCGCCATTTCTCCCTCTTGTGGAGTGGGCCATTCAGAGACGGTTCGCGAAGCTCTCACGGTGCTTACGGCTTGCTTCAGTTTGGCGGGCTTAGCGTCAGCCATCAGGCGTGCGCGTTGTGGTCACTCCAACGAACATTTGGCGGGAACGGAAAGCTCGCGATCGCGGAAATTTAATCGCAAAAACAGCGAATTAAAAATTATAAGTTTATGTGTATATCGTGAAAAATGTCTTTAAAATCGAGCCCCTTGTTGCTTTTACGATGGTTCATCGTTTTAAATATTATGGTAAGCTTATTTATTTCTTACGACTGGAGACGATATTGATATGAAATATTTTGAATTGTGTGTATCTTTTGATTTTATTTATTGGCCATTACCGATTGATTTAAATACATCAAAGTACAATTTTACTATCCAAAGTAGGTGTTAAGTCTAGGTACATAAAAAGACTTGCAATTGACGCGAAAGTGTATAAATAAAACAAACAAAACCTTGAAATATATATAACTACAGATTTTGTGTAAACAAAATAATTTAATAACGTAAACAAACATTTCATACTTTCCAAAAACAATAGGAAGTGAAACAGAAAGCTACTAAAACTATAAAATTAACTACAAAATACTTTTTAATAACAAAACATAGAAAAAGAAACATTAAAGAACCGACACCCAATGTGTGCTCAAGAACTTAATTCGCGGAATCGACACGCGATACGCACATAGTTACACGCAGTCATTAACGCGGGCAATTTACCCCATTCTTTTTGTACATGTCCCTCAAAGCAATGCAACATCAAAGCGAGAACATTTAGTTCAATTACCATAAGATAATATCCGTCAGTTCACTAACTGTAACCGTTGCAACATCGTAGATACACATGGAGTCGAATCTCCGCCCAGAAGCGTTGGATTGCCGTAACGATGAACTTGCGGATCGAAATGCCATACATATCGAAGGGCGTAGATGCATGCGCCGATCGAGAACCGCTAGCTTGCCATATCAATTTACTAGCGCCGCTCTGGTGCACCCAATTACTAGCTCTGGTTCACATGATTCCTATTCATCAGCCTCTAGATTGCTTTAGTGCCTATTAAAAGATCGTTCGATGAGGAAACATGATGTTTAAGAGGTTTAAATTTTAGGGGACCGATGACTTTGAAACATTATATTACTTTAAGTTTAGTTCGAACGAAATAATATTTAATTTACGTTTCGAAGAATGAGCGTGGAATTATTAAAATACTTCATGGAAGGTAGTAAGATTATGTCTGTTTATAAATGTTAATTTATTCTTTATCTACGTGGTGTAACTTGCAAACAATTTGTTTGAGTCTTAAGACTGCATAAGAAAAGCGCAAATAGTTTCATCAATAATGGAACACAAACAATACAACTTCAATATTATTATCTGCTGTGAAAATACTACATACGTCGTTACAAAAAAAAATAACATTTCAATTTAGGCTTCTAGAGGTTAAATCCCTTGAAGTTTAGTTCTTTAATTTAATAAGTTACCTACAAATATTCATTCTAACTTTGCAATTGAAAAGTACGTGGAATTTATTAGACTCTTACCATAGTGATCGAACTTTTTGGTTCAGCATATTTTCTACTACTAACTGCTGCTCCTACTTTAATTTAGAATCTTGACCTTAAAGGAGGTCGTGTCTAATTCAGTTTTTACAATCATCATTAAGCAATTAGAAAACTCCAAGCCACGGAATCAATTGCTAATTTTAATCGAAAAACAGACTCGCTGATTGGTTTATTTTTATAGCTCTCCATTGATTAATCGTCCTGAATCCTAAAAATAAAGGAAATCAGATTTAATATAAAGTTGGATTAACTATCGAGACGTTATAATAATGTGTATTGTTCCGAAAACACTTCACATATACAGAAGTCAGAAAATTTTATTATATTTTTTGAAACGATTATACTTACCAGTAAATTTCTAATGTTTTTCGCATGAATCTAACACTAAGGCAGACGTAGATACTTAGGTACAATGTTTCACTATCTCGATGATGCAAGGGATATCCGAGTCAGTAACCATTGCATTTATTTTTATGACACTAAATTGCTTCACGCATATGGTCAAAAGAAAGGTACCTGCCGTTGATTTTCAGTAGCTTACCAAGCGGACATACTAGGGGGAGATTCACTTATCTCTTGATAGTACTGTGATGGTCTATTGTAATTTATTACGACTTTTATATCTTCCGGGATAATTTGTTTTACTGCCTCTTGTTGTTACACGCACTGTTTAGATTTAGATACTCTAACAATACACTTGTTCCTACTTCGTAGAAGATTTGTCATTCCATATTCAGTTTTAAACATGTATAAATGTAACAGTTAGACTCATTACGAAGGACCATGAAGCGTAGCGTTTTGGACTTGTCTAACAGTAAGCGAAATTAGGTTGAAATTATGATTCTAGACTTTGCATAAAAATTGCACATCCAATTTGTTTTACGACTATGTAAGCAAGTTCACACTTGAGGTAAATGGATCCCTGTTGCAAGCGCCAAGTACTGCCGTCAACAAAGGTATTAATTTACTAAGAGATCATTGTTACGTGTTCTACTTAAGTATTAATAGCGGGTCCCCCTGCTGGGATTCACAGAATTTTGATTAAAGTTACATAACGACGGTCGTATCCACGTTCGGTGTCTGATCTTCATTGGCGCGCGTGGGAATCGTCTCCGGCTATGCAATTAGGGAACGCCGGGAGCGGAGGGTAGTCAATTACCGCGCGCACTGTTTTTATTGCGACTCTCATTGTCGATGCAATGAAAGCTCAGCCAAAACGTAACCATAAACTTTATTGCGCCCCACTTGTTTCCTTTGCACTCTGACATTCCTAGTTACGATTTAATTTGATTTTTGTTAAATGGTTTAAAGTTAAGGAATCTGTTTATAACTTGTTCGCTTTACATATTTTACTTATTTACATATTTATTTAAAGTTATCATAGCATATCAACCGTGAACTGTGCTAATGAAACGTGCCCAGACATTCAAACTTTAGTTAAAATACTATGTAGACCAACTACATAGTATTTTAACTAAAGTTTTAGTCAGTGGTGTAGTAGCCACCTGACTACGTCGTTGTACGGATTATTAAACAAAGCGAGAAAAGCGTCTGTAATTCAATGAATGCGAACGTGCCATCATGTTCTACATTTTTGAAATTACTTCATTAAGTAGATTCTTTTTTTCCTAGTCCACTACTCATGCGTTACAAAACACATTAACCAATTCAAAACACCTCGTGGTCTTGCATAAAAAGCAAGTGAGAAAGTGATTGCGAAAAAAAATAATTAAAGGAAAAAACATATCATGTCATATGTGTATACCACGTCTTAGAGTCAACGACCTAAACCAATTATAGTTGCATAATAGAATACTTTTTTCACATCGATTTAAATTGGTTTTTTCAATCCTTTAGCCAATTTACGATGGTTAGATAGCGTCTTACTCGATTAGATAGCTTTGGACATATAAAACTGCGAAGATACTTGGAGTAAAGGTACTTTAATTTGAAAAAACGTATGTTTCACTAAGTATAATGCATTCCAAATATCATGGGACCAAAACAAATATTTGTAAAATGGCACTTAATACACACTCTTTTAGTAAATAAAGCTGAGTTTTACAAGCGTCGATTTAACTGTTTGCGTTCTTGTATTGATCAAGCAATTATCGAATGGGTTTTTCGTGTTCACTATTTTCCTCGGTAGAAAATTAAGAAATTGGCTTGCTATAAACCGTTGAACAAGTTATTTAATTTCATGGGATCATGTTTCCATGTTTGGTTCATCATGTTTATCATGTTGTGTATTTGGTACCTACCTATTTAATGCTTTTAAAATACCTAAATCCTTTTACGTACCGTAGATCAACATACCTAATAATAATTTTAATTTCTTGCTTAGTCATCTTCATAGAAGTCAACATCTTTTGACAGAGACAGTTAATGCATTCTTGATTTTCAAAAGTGCTTCTAATGGTAGTAATGGAAATAAATGATTTGACTTTAACTTTAAGATAAATTTTGATTGCATCACCAATCATTTAGAGGACACAATGACTTAACATATCCTTATAGGCATCAAGGATTCTGATATTGATAGAAATGCAAGTTTTATTGCTTGCGTGTGCATACACAATAGTTTCATATCTAAATGCAAGCGATTCGCAATGAGCGACAATGAATAATTCAATCCATCGTTGTCCTTAAGTACCTAGGACTTATTTTGTTCAATCGTTGAACCCTTTGCGCACCTATAAATAGTTTTCTTTGAATTGTATTAAGTTTATTAACTTGGTAATCTCAGCCCACCTTAGATTCAATACACAGATCATGAACTTATACTGGAATTGATGTTAATTGGATTAAGTATAATGATTTTTATAACCAGACCATTCGTTTGTTTTATTGGTTTACTCGTGATTTCTTTATTATTTTTGAAGTAGGATTGCGATAGAAGTTGGTTTTTCCATAATTGGAACTATTGGTAGCAATAAAGGTGTGTCTAGTGGCAAGCGGTCTCCACAACCTAATTGCACCTGTAATACCAGGGGTATAACAAATTCGTTATAGACCAACCATGTAGCATGTAGCAAACTGTTTGATTGCGTTATCATTTCCGTAGACGTAGAGGATATCTCGCGAAAATAATGGTGCAATCGAATAGCAGGTTGGGATTGGGATTTTAATACTGGGTTTCGTAAAATTGCGATTAAATCGACAGATAACGAAAACCGAAAGTGTATGTTTAACAGTGTCGCATATGGCCGCCAGGAACAACTCGTAATTGCGACAATTCTTCGGTTGTAATAAGTGAAATTATGACGTATCTATTTGTATTTATTACAATAACTTCCTTAACTATGTGGCAATTTTGACTTGCAGTAAAATTAACTATTTCCTCCAACGTACTTTTACTTTTAACTTTTCTCTTTCTAGGGGCAATAAAAATTAATATGCTAATTAGTTTTACGCTGAGACGTGTAACAAAGAGTCGTCAAAGATTTAATAACTTGTAATCATAGTATAGGTACACCTATCTATTAAAGCTGTCGGTGCTAAAATTGATTTTCTTAGGCTTTAACAATTTTCTTTCCAATAAGGACTAGTTGGTACCCTATATTTATATTTCACTTCTTATTAGAAAGTAGACTATAAGAGTTAGAAATGAAGGCGAGAAAAGCCTTTCTAATGAAACCTAGGTATACGGGAAGCAAAAATTACTACAATTTATTTCTAAATATAAT